TGTGGGCACCGATCCTGAAACACAATTGCGGTGCTATTTCGGGCTGGATCGTGCAAGCCCTTCCAATGCCCTGCACATGCACTGCAAGAAACAGGCCCCAACAGCCCCTTGCCTTGAAAGAAAAAACGAAAGGAGTCTACTTTCAGCTACGTACATCCTTCAGAAACAGGCTTGCTCTGACCTCGAAACTTGCCCCGAGTTCCCAAGGCACCATCAACATCCCCACCACGCCCTGAAGCTTCAATCCTGAGTATTTGCTTTTTGAGGATATCTCGGGTTTAGGTTTCAGCTCCTAAACCAAACCCGATAAACCCCCAACCCAGTGCCCTATAGTAAAACCCCAAAAAGTTGGAAACCGAATTAAGGACAAATAGTGCTGGGATTCCCTATACATTACTCTTAAGGATTGAGGCTCTTGGGTTTCCAACTTCTGGGCTTCCACAATAGGCATCCATTGCCGTCGAGGCGCACCAGAGTTTCGACTTGACATCCCGGGGCGTCGTAGGGCAGATCGAGGAGATGTGCCTCTTCCGTGGGAGGCTCAGGGCTTTAGTCGAAAGGTCGTGGGTTTACGGTTCAGGGGTTATCGGGGTTATAGGGGTTTAGGGGTTTAGGGTTTAGGGTTTAGGGGGTTCCTACACCCTAAACCCTAGACCCCTAGACCCCTAAACCCTAGACCCTAAACCCTACACCTGCCTTTGGGAGCTCGTTTCCATCTGCATTGTCTGCGTCTAGAAGTCCTAGATGGCTGGAGGTCTGGGGTTCAACGCTTAGGGTTTGGAGTTTTGGACTTGGGTTGGGTTAGGGTTTAGGGGCTTAGGGGTTAAGGGGTTTAGGGTTTGAGGGCTTATTGGGTTGAGGATCTGACAACCAATACCCAGGTTCCATATTGTCATATGGTCTATAGTATGTATACATCGGCCCGAAAGAGTACCGGGGTAGGGATTACTTTAAGGCCAAAGTATGTACAATACGAGAACATGGACAACCCGTATTTCAGTATAGGCTATGCTCAACCTCTCACCCTCCTCTTCTTCCTGGTACCCACACTAGGACTTTCCTACACCTCGGCTAAAGTATCCCAGCAGAACGGCTAGCCCCAACACTTCATCTACGGGCAGCGGGCTTAAACCCAATTGTTCACCTATTTTGCTTGTGTAAGCCTAGCGAAGCACATGGAAGGCACGGTAAACTGCCACGTTGCCATTCCACGTTTAGGGTTTCAACTCTCCGCATTCCGAGGGTTTGTTACACTAACCCTGAGGCCTATGCCTCCAAAGTCCCTACTAAAAGGCTCATGGGACTTGGCAACTAGGGTTCCAAAAAAGGTAGCCACCCAATTCAGGTACTTATAACTTATGACTGTACTTGCTAAGTCCCATGAACCTCCAAGTAGTAATCATCGGGTATGCAGTTTTGTACAGACTCTCTACCCAACCCCTCAGACTGGGAGGGCTCATCTTGGGAATCGTCCAGGTCCAAACTTTCAAAGGTGTTTAGGGTTTAGGGGCTTCCAGTTTTAGGGTTTAGGGGCTTCCAGTTTTAGGGTTTAGGGGCTTCCGGCTTAGGGTTTAGGGGCTTCCGGCTTAGGTTTCTTTAAGGCTTTAAGATGCCTTAAGCTTCACCCCGCGAGCCTGACATGGCCTCCCCGCAGAGAGCCCAATCTTCCTTGATGCCTCTAATCACTCCCTAAACTGAGGCTTCAGATCTTGCAAAATCAGGAAGATGCAAAGATGCCCTTAAATCACAGTAGGACCACTATGATTCGAAGTATACTTATTCCTTCATTCCTTCATTCACGGATTTTGGAAGATATGGGGAAGAGCCGTAGGCCTCAGAATTGACTCGTTAATCAACTGGTCTTGGCTCCCATGAGGGTTCCTTTAAAGGGATCCTTCATCCAGGGCCCATGTACCCAAGCAGTATATACTTTGGGCAATATAGATACCTGTACTACTCTCCTGCCTGAGTTTTTGGGTAGTTCTCTAAGTTCGGGCCCCGTTTTCAGGTCCCCTTATACAAGGGACCCCACATTTAGAGAACTCTAAACCCTGAACCATAGACTATTTGGGCACATGGGCCCTCAGGGCCAGAAATGCCGTCGAGGTGCTACAATTGGCAGTGTAGCCCGGTCCGACACGCCCATGCCCAGAGATCACCTGGCGCTTTCTCTTAAAGGCCTGGGGTTTACGCTCTCACGACTCGGACAAGCCAGGCGAGGTTCATGGGGTTTAGGATTCGGGGTTGAGTTAAGTAGTTGAGAAGCTGACAGGATGTCCTTCCCCACCCCTGCACTCCTCAATCTCGAAGCGGCGCGTCGTCCCGGCAATAACAAGCCTCCTCTATCCATGGGCACTTGCAAGGCTGGAGATGCTAAACAAGAAACCGGCAAGCTTTAACAGTTTCAGATGCAACCTCATGACGCAACCACATGCCTAGAGTAAGTAGGCTCCCTACCGAACTTTGTTGTAGCCCAGACGATCCTTGAACTGCCTATTATAATGGTGAAATTGAAATCGGGGGGGGGGGGGGGTCCTGGGATAGACCCATTTCACCGCGGCCTTGGTGATTGTCGTCAGGCTCCCCGAAAGAAGCGTCTGCACTTTATGATCTGAAGGCCAAGTCTATCAACGACGGTTCAGAGTGCACAGGGTTGGGATGAGAGTTCAGGATGAATGCAACTCACGGACGTGTACTTGGAGGCTCATGGGACTTAGCAAGTACAGTTATAAGTATCTTAATTTGGGTTATAAGTAATTATAAGCATAGTTACCTTATTTGTGACCCTAGCTACTAAGTCCCATGAACCTTTAAGTAGGGATCAGCTGCAAACGCCGTGGCAATGCGTCATTGGGCGTTAAAGCCTTGCAGCTTAATTATGTTGATTTTTGCATGTTCCCGAATCGGCCTCAACCGCCCTAGCCCCAAACCGCATATAATCTAAACTCACATGGAGCAGGCGCCTTCATGTGCTCCGGTAAGCACCGGTCCAGCGCCGGCCAGTGCGCACGACAGCACATCGAAGCCCAGTCCGCATCATGGCCCCTCCCTTTCGGCTAAACTCGTCGCCGCTGCAAATGTGTGCGAGTTCTACAGGAACCAAGTCCTACTGATATATGAGCCCTTAGATGTGGACGTCAGGTTGTAAGCTCCAAAGGTTTTGTGAAAAAATATGTAGAACACGCAGCCGTAGCACATGCCGATCTTGGAGTTGTTGCTTGTGTGGGTGGATTTCTTTGAAGCAAGGATCCCATATTTTGGGCAAGCTCCTTATCCTACCACCCAGCCACTCAGTGTCCAGATCAGGGCCCATGTTTTCTGACACTCCCATGTCTGGCCATGTCAGGCTCTGTACAACTGTTGCTGCCCGAACATGCTTCAGTCTCGCCAGGCACAGTCGGCCACAACTGCCAAGACCGGCTTCTCCAAACCCTAAGCCCTGGCTGTCTATCTTTCTGACAACTCCTTCTTACGGCATCACTTATAGGACATGAAAGATTGACGAAGACAGCACCGTAATGTGTTCCGTACCAGGCCCGCGCATTGACAGACTTCGGTATTCTGCCCCAATCTATCAGACCCGGTCAGCGATTGAAATTGACTCACTCAGCTGATACATATATATATATACATACATACATACACATATACATATTTATATATATATATACACTCGCAGTTACACTGATGCTTCTGCTCACAGTGGCATAGCACAAGCTTCGATGCTGAAAGCTGGATGGGCCAAGCTCCCTTATGCCCTAGCCATAGCTCTGATCGCACACACGCATTGTCTTATATGTGTAGGTTGAACTGTTGATCTCGTCGGAACTTGCCGAATGCAAGAATTTCGAGAGATGCTCGAAGTTCTTATGAAAGCAGGAACGGCCCTCAGTCGCAACACCAAGATGCGGTCAGAACTGCACACTCGTCCGGTGTCTACTTCTCGCATAATGCACCCTTACACGGCTTGGTGAAATGGATGCTAGACTAGATGCTGTCTCTCAATCAGGAGGCTTACAAAAAGAAGCTATGATAAAGCAGCGCGCAACAAGAATCAAAGCAGCACACATTTCTAGTACACAAGCGCCACTGATGTTGGATCCAGCCAGCGTCCAAAGTCGGTGGCACCAGTAGGCTTTTCGATACCTCTGGCAACTTCCTTTGTAATACCCCAGACTTGCTAAGCACCTATTTTCAAAGTAAAGAGTAAGAGTGCTTACCATTACTGTCTGCATACGTATCCGCCACGAACCTACCCAGGATCCCTCGGGAAGGTGTATAAGCCTCTCTAATTTCAACACATCACAAAACCCTGGATATTGAAACTGCATATATATATATATTTATTTATTCGTTTATTTATTTAATATCCCCATATAGAACCCATGTAGCTACTTAGGTCCTTTGAGAAAGGGGATACACAGCTCCGGGGCCCAGTCAAGGAGCTCGCGACTGTGCATGTGCGTGCCATGTTCGGGGCTACTTGAGTCAGGGTTTAGGGTTTAGGGTTTAGGGGTTTAGGGTTTAGGGTTTATAGTTTAGGGGTTTAGGGGTTCGTCGATGGACAATCCAGGAGAGGCATGTGGTTCATGGATGGTTTAAGGGACTATGGATATGACGGTGGTCTCACAGTCTCAAAAGCGTGAATATTTACAATACTGGTAATCTAAACCTCTATGACATCCTTTGATTTGGCACTCTGCATGGAAGGACTCATGAACCTTCGGCCATCAGCAATGGTGTATCGTGTCAGTTTTCTGGCAGTGTTACTGTAGTAGTTCCTCGAAAGGCAAATGAGGAGCGTGCTCTGCCGGGTCTACATTTTTAACAGCAACTTACTGAAAAATAAAACATGCCCGTGGAGTCCGCATTGTGCATAACCCGACAAAACTGCCTCACACACATCCTATACAATCCTAGCTTCAAAACCCTGCGCCCTAAACCCAAGCGCTGAAAACCAAACAACGATGCCAGGCCACGCCATTGCCTGCCGATGTTCCTCATCCACGTGCCTTCTTTCCGGCCTGGTGTCGTGCGTCACGTGAACGCCAGCCGCAACAGTCGCCACAGGAGCATCAGGGGAGTATGCCAGTATTCGTGGTCGTCGTCGCAATAGTAGTACCAGATGCAGAAGCAGCAGCAGCAGCAGCAGCAGCAGCAGCAGCAGGAGCAGGAGCAGGAGCAGGAGCAGTAGCAGTAGCAGTAGGAACAGTAGCAGGAGCAGTAATTAGCGGGAGCAATACTCACCCGACAGAAACGACAACACTGACAGCTGCTGTCAGACAGCATCGTTCCTTGGTGACCCAACCGGCCTTGTCGCCGCCGCCCCCTTCGCGCTTCTGTCCCGGGCCCGCAGCCTAGCCACGCTTCGGGCTATGTGCGTGGCCTTAGGCTTTACAGGGCTTCAGGAACAGAGTTTAGGCTTTGCCGCTTGGGGCTTTTGCTGTCTCCAGCAGAGTTGTGTTCACGAGTGTCTACCTTCAGAGACCTTAGCCATAAAGCAGCAAAGGCCTTAAAAGCATTTTTTCGAGCTTCCGGCCTGAACCCTTTAATAAAAACGATGAACTGACGAACGCGGAACCCTAAGCCCTAAACCCCTAACCGCCCTAACCTATCCTAAATTAAACCCTCGTCAGCGCCTGCCCTCCACGACCGCGGCCGCGGCCCTCGCCTGCAAAACCCGTATGACAACCGCAGCAGCTCGGGCTTCGGACGTAAGTAGGTCTGCCTCATGAGGAAATACTCAATGGTAATTAAGCTTAGTTTTAAGCTGGGTCCAAATGATTTAGGCTTGCACTATGTAAAAACGTGGGGAAACGTAAAAAAACGACCTCAAGGATTCCTACGAGGAAAAGTCCGCGCAACAACTCCCGAGCCCAGCTTCTGGCGCCAAACAAGAAGGCAACAGTGGTTCCGTCTTGAGGATCCTTGCAGCCTTACGCCATGGCACAGAACCCTCTGATTTCGGATCCTACATTCTGGCATAATGGTCACTTCTTTCTGGAGCTTTCATCTACAAGTAAACATACCTTAAAGGCATTTGTTCCGCAACAGTCGTCCCTCTCAACTCCCAGCCTTTGCCGCCACGTCCACCACGACCACGAGCCTTGAACTGCTGACGGATCTCCTGCGGTGGACTCAGGGTGCAGGGTCTGGGGTGGAGTCAACGGGCGGTAGTCTGGAATGTCTGCAAGGCCTGCAGAACCTTGGTGCTTGATTTCAGAGCTCTGATTTTGCACGTCGGGGTTCGGATTCGCTCCTGGTTCAACTTGCGAGGTCTAGCCTTCAGGGTCTACAATAAGATGCCTCCCAATCCCACAGTGAGGACGTTGCAGCGATTGTCGTCGACTGAACTTAAGGGTTATTGCTAGAAGTCCACCCGATGCTGTGAGGTTGGCAACTCCTGCTGGCATGCCGTCAAGGGTTCCGACTCTGCCCTAATTTAAGCAGTTTCAGTTATTCCAGTTCATGGCTCATGCTACAGGATGTAGGTTGGGTTGAGGAGAAGGTCTGGCAGGTCCTTGCGGGACTGCGGCTCATCCTTCACCATATCGATGACCTGTCGGACACGTTCTGTGGAAATTTGAAGATGCTTGAAAAATACAATTGCCGACATACCGCAGCTGCTGGACAGGCAGGCATAATAGGGGTCTCTCTCTCTCGCTCTCTCTCTGTCTCCCTGTCTCTGCTGGGGTGTAAGTCTGTGCACATACGCGTGAAGATATGGAATTGCGTATGTATTTGTGTTTACATACATAAATGTAAATTAACACACACACATGCATACATGCATGCATTCAAGCATGCATGTAGATACGTGCTTATGTATGCTAGTATGTACTCACGTACATATGTATGGATGCATGTATGCATGTGGGTGTAGATTTACACACGCACGTGCGGGTGCGCGTGCACGCACACATACATACCAACCTACCGACCTACCGACCTACC